ACTCCAGCCCCCGGGCAGCCTCACGATCACCTTCTCTGTACCTCCTGTGCGGCTGGCTCTCCTGGGGCCTCAGCCAGGCCCCCCCTAGGCATGCCACTGGCCCTGTCCCACACCCTGTTCAGGAGTGCTTCCCACACTGTGGCTGTCGCCCAGTTTCCACCTCTGAGCCATACCCGCTGCCTGCATGCCCCAGCCCCAGCAGGGGGTTTGGTTCCTTAGGTGCTTGTGAGCCCCCCCAGCACCCAGCAAGGACTCAGCCAGGATGCTGGTTCTCACCCTCCAGCAAGACAACTGGGACATTTCCAGAGCCTGGGCCAAGTGTCGCAACATTGATCCAGGAGCAGGTTAAGCCTCTCCTTAGCCTGACCTGGGGAGTCCCATCCTGCCTTGGCTTGTCCCTGAACTAGGATATGGACAGTCCCACCTGGGGACATCAGTCCTGGGAGCAGCAGGTCAGAGGATGGGTGGGCTGTGCTCCAAGGCCTCAGGGACTGATCTTGCTCCTCCTTGTCTGACAATGGGTGCGGGGGGGGGGCATGCAAATGCCAGTCTTACCCCCTGGTGAGATGGAGCTGTGTCTTCCACTACCTGACAGCCTGATGGCAACGTGGCGCAGGCTTCCACTTCTCCTCCAGTGGTCAGGAGCAGCTGGGGCTCTGCTCACCTGTCCCCAGGTTGCTCCTGGACATCTCCTACCCCATCACACCTCCGTTCCCAGTTGCTCTTATTCTCTGGGCCCCGCATGCTCCTGGGACCCTGGCAGCCCCAGAGGCCTACTCCTTGTCTGTGAGTGAGTAGACAAGTGAGTGAGTAGAGGGTCCTCACCTTGCTTCTCCCTCCTGTGTACATCCCTGCAAGGGACATGTTTGCCTTAGATGGCCCCTTGCTGTCCCCTCCCCTGACCCAAGTGAGCAGGCGGGTGCAGTTCGCAGGCCTAGGAGGTCCAGAATGGGGGACTGGGGCTGGCATGGCAGGGCGCTTGCTTCTGGTTGATACTTTTCTTTGTCTTCGTAGTGAAAAGTGAGGCTGGGGGCAACTGTGGAACAGGGAGTATGAGGAGCGAGGACGTGGCCACAGGAAGGCAGGGGAGGGTGTGGTGAGACTGATGGACAGGCCAGGGCCCCAGAATGGAGGCGGGTCAGCATGCTCCCCTGGCCCCGGCCCAGTTGCAGGTAGAGCGTCTGAGGGCTGGGGAAAGTCAGGTGACCTGGTCAGGAAAGATGGAGGGAGAAGGAAACTGAGCTGAGTTTGCAGGGGCAGGTTTCAAGTCGTGTGTGGCTCTGGCCCCTCTGGGTGTGGGGAGAGGGGGTGTCAGGCTGTGAAGACCCCAGGGGTCCTTAGATGAGCCTGGGTGCGGGCAGCCCTGGGGGATGACCGCAAGTAACGGCAGCTGAGGTCTGGGGAGAAGAGAGCTTGACTATGGAGGACAGAGGCCACCTAGGAGGACAGAGCTGTTGTCACAGGTGAGGACAGGGTAAGCCCAAGACATGACCTGGGCTCTGTGGGGACTGGCAGAGCAGGCTGAGGGACAGACGCTCATGAGGGACCCGGGGTTGAGGGGAAGGGGGTGGTACGTGGGTGGGATTCACAGTGCCATCACCTGGGAGGCACGTCCCTGGAAGAGCCAGGCTTTTAGTTGGCACAAGGTGGAGCGGGCCTTCCAAAAAGAGGCCACCAATGGGAGGCGGTTTGCACTGACCGAACATAAGCCCAAGGACAGAGTGTGAGAGGCGGAGACTGGAAGATGAGTCACCGTCCCGGGATTCTCRTTACTGTAGACATTGGACCGGGTGGTTCTTTGTAGGTGGCGGGCCCTCCTGCCCATAGGGCATTTTTCCTCATCTCGGGGATCAGCCCTTGGCGACTGTAGCACCTCCACTCTGCTCAGTTTGATCACCCAGAATCTCCTCAGCTGCCAGGTGCAGTGATACAGCCACCCTGACCACCATGAAGGCTGAGGCAGGAGAAGGGCAAGTTTGAGGCCACCTCGGCAACTTAGCAAAACCTGGTCTGAAAAAACTTTTTTAAGGTTTGGGGGTACAGCTCAGAGGTAGAGCACTCCTGGGTTCAATCCTAGTACTGCAGAAAGAGAGAGGGACGGAGTGTTTACATTCATGGCCAGCTGAGAGGGCATTCCTAGCTGAGCACCAGTGGCTTTGGAGCAGTCAGAGCCACTGGGGACAGATCTCAGCCATCGAAGATGCACCRGAGGAAGTGCTGATGGGGCTGGCCCTGGTGGCCTCCTGGTGAGGGGGTGGCATCGTCTCCATACAGTCTCTCTCCCGGAAGCCACTTGCTGCCGCCCTCCTGGTGTGCCAGAGTCCCTTCCTGAACTGAGTATTCCAAGACCCCAAGAAGACGGAAGACGAGATGGCCAGGTTCTTGTCAATTGCCTTGGTAAAGGCTTTCTGCAGCCCRAAGGGAGGGTACTGCCTGGAAGACACGTTCATCTTGATTCCCAGCCGGGCKAACTCTGAGCCATGACGTGCTAGTGACTTCAAGGTCCCCGCAGAGCATCCTGAAGGAAGCACTTTGCATGCATGTAGAGAAGGAAACGGTGACTGCTCTGAACAGGGACAGTTCCTCAAAGAGGAGAAATATCAAATAGATGTCCCTTTATTGTTTTTAAATTGTCAAAAATACATATGAGTAGGGTACCCCTCTACCCTTCAGCAAAGGGTTTGTCAAGGTTGTCCCTGGGTTTCCTTATGGACAAATTCAAAGGCATCTGAGCTGGACACAGAGTCAGTGTGCATTACCTGGCTCAGCAATGATTCTGAGAAGCTTCCACGTACTGATGGGTGCATCTGAAGGAGTCAGGCTGAATCTCCACCCCACCCTTTCTGTTGTTTTCATCAACTTGGATGGATATGGAGGTGCATGCTCAGAACGGCCGAGAACAGTAAGACAGTTGTGAAGAATAACCAGGTGTCGGCTTGGAAGGCAGCAGCTCTGAAGACCAGGTGCTCACGTAGAACACAGCTAGTGAGTGAGGAGTTGCAGAGTAGAACAGCGAGTGAAGGAATGATGCTCCACACGTGGGTGGAGCTCTGTCATGTGGACCCTCCAGTTTCTGTGCACATTCCAGTGTCTTAGAAAGGATATTGATACGCTATAACAAAGACAGGACCCTCCAGACAGTGGAAGGAGGGCCTGTCCTGATGCTCTTCACCACCTGCAGGGAAAGCCAGCCCCTGATGTGGCCTGGGGAACAGGTCACCTGGCAGCCAAGTGCAGATAGTCCCAAATGTGGGCTCTACGTACAGTTCAGAAAGAGACAGGGTGATTTGGGAGGAGCCAGTATTCAGTGGCAGAAGGACAGCAGGAAGGTATCAGGAGCACACCCAGCCTGGTGAATGGAGGGCACCTGCGGACAGGGTGGACTAATGAAATCGGCACCCACAGCCGCCAGGGAGGACCTGGTACTGCTCCTCCGCGTCTATGACCACATGAGAGCAGAAGAGATTTAAAATGTGCAGTACGCCTCAGTCAGGCTTGAGCACCAAGTAACACGCAGGGCTGCCTCAGGACGAAGTGAGGTCTGAGCCTCCGTACCCCAGGGCCACTGTGGCTTCAGAACACTGGAAACGGGCACAGGAATGACACGGTCCAGCTCTTTCTTCCCCCTGGAATGTCTCCACTTTCACCTGACACTCAGTGGAATCAAGTATTTAAATACTTAGGCGAGAGCCACCACGTTGGAAAGCCTGGCCAGCTTTAAGCTGGAATGCTGGAAGGAGGCCCCTGGGGGTGGCCTCGAGCCCAAGGTGCAGAAAGCAGGTGGCTCACACAGAGAGACCATGCACAGAGTGAGGGGTGACTTTGGAAAAGACTGAGCCAGGGTCTGGGCCTCCTGGAGGCAGGGGCTGAACCATGTCTGATATCAAGCTGCACGCTTCCCCCRTACCTGGCCATCATAGTCAAACAGCAAGCCAGAGGGGACATGATGCCCGCTGTCCCCTGGGTGCAGTCCCCCAGAGAGAGAGGCCAGGTGTCGGGCGGAGTGGAGGGTGTCAGCCTTGGGGCAGGGAGCACTGGGGGATGCTGGGTGCCCAGCTGCTGTGCCAGGACCTCCAGGCAGGGATCCTGATATGGTGTCCTCAGGGATGGATCCCATGCATCTAGAAAGTGGCTGCCCAGCATCTAGAAAGTGGTGCTCAGAGTCGAGGCTGAGAGTACTTGAAGTAGGGCAGAGCCTTCTGTCCCTGAGGTTGTTAACCTGCTGAATCATGAATGGAGAATTCTCACGACTCTGAGGGGAAGGTGTCCTATCACCTCCTTCGACTGCTGTACAATTCTATGCTCTTAGCATCACTTTGGACCTTCTCTTTGGTAAAGATAAAGATAGGTAATAAATTAAGAGTTTTGCTGGCAGTGAGTGATCATATGGGCACATTGGCTTTCAAACCTTTATAACTTGCTCCAGTGCATTAAAAACAGATGGGTCTACCTAATGGGCTTTCAAGTGCCATTGCAGGACACTGGTGGGAGAAAGGGCACACCGATTTTCACCGATTGCAGTTGGAGCTACCTTCATATGTAGTGTTGAGGAGAAGAAGGAATCAGGTTCCTCATCCTGCATGCACACAGTCAGTCCCTTAAAGGTGCACTCTCGTGCTTTCCTGGCTGTCTTTGTTTCTTTCTGGTGTGTCAAGGTGATTATGGGAAAAGAGAATCAACTGAAAACCACAAGCTCCCTGCTTCCCTTTTGCAGAGATCATATATTCTGCAAATGAGTTTTCAAGACTCCCATCATGCAAARTAGAAAATTTTAAATTCTCCTAGCATGAAGGTGATACAGAAAACGGTGCCTGCAGGTGGCCAGGGGACCGTGATCTTCTCCTGCCGAGGCTCTGGGCCTCTGATCWGCAACCTCATAACTGGGCACCATGTGCAGGCCCCTGTGTGGTGCTGGAGGAGCATTGCTTGAGTGTTTTCCCCAAGTCTCCTTTCTCTGTGCTTACCTTTGCATTTTTTTGCCTTTTCCGGTCCGGTGGCAGACACAGGACTGGGTGACTCCGTGTGCTCCAGCCCCAGTATCTCCAGCTCCACCAGCCCCAAGCTCGACCCGCCCCCCTCCCCCCACGCCAACAGAAAGAAGCATCGAAGGAAGAAAAGTACCAGCAACTTCAAAGCTGATGGGCTCTCTGGCACTGCTGAAGGTAAGGTGTCCCGGGACCCCCAGAGTGACTGTCTGCATTTCTGAAAATTCACTTGTGGTTTTCCAGGTTGTGAAATCAGATGCCCTTAGAACCCAGTGCCCAGTCACGCAGGCTCCTGTGTGTGCTTTCTGTTTTCAAGGTGGCACGACAGGGCCCTGGCACCTTCTCACTGTCTCCATCACAGGCCTGGTCGAGTTCTGTAGCCTGTCCCCACCTGGGCAACCCAGGCACAACAGCCACTCCAGGTGGGTGGGTCTCACCACCTCAGTCAGGTGTCACCTCTGATCCTGGTCTCGGTTGCCATAGATGGYGGCTCACCTGGTGCTCAGCAGCAGCCTGTCCTGCAGCCCCCTTCTCCTCTTCTGTCAGGCACACCGACTCCTTTGCTTTGTGGGTCCCCTTRGTGGTCCAGGTGCTGTGGTTTGCCTTGATTCTCCTTTGGCTTGCTGAGTCCCCCCTCATCTCCATGATGGCAGGGGTGATCTTTCTGATGTGGCTCCTTCCAATAAGTTTACGTTTTTTTATTCTACAGACACAAGTGGAGATGGGTGCATGTGTGTGCCCGGGCACACGTGCACGCGCCCCTCGTCATGGGGGGCAGAACTGGTCCAATCTAATAGACAAGTTACAGAAATACTTCAGAGGAAAGTTAAAATTCCCCAGCATGGTTCTCATGACACAAATGGCTTTTGTGAGAACGGCAGTTGCAAGTCTGTCTTCAGCAAGGGTCCCCTCTCCGGAACGCTCTTCATTACTTAGGTCCTTTTCCTTTCTGCGTGTCCGCCGTGCTGTTCCTGCGTGCTCCACTGGTCTGTGTCCAGAACCACAGGTCAATAGATGCTGGCCCTGCTAGAGAAGGCCGCCTGTCCCTCCTGTGCCTGTGGATTAGCATGAGCCCACAGCACCTAGTAGCAGGGACGAGCAGGTGTTCTGGTGGCATGCATAGCGCCCCCTTCAGTTGTGAGCGGACAGATGATTGAGAGCCAGAGAGCTCAGGGCTGCCCACAAGGTCCGGCAGCCCTTCCCCACCACACTTCTTCCTGTTTGCCTCCCATAAGCATTCTGCTAATAAGGGTAGACAATAAAACCCAGTTTTCTCATGTTGCGATCAACAAGGGTGATTCTGTCAAAATAGCAATGCTGAAAATAATAATGGATCAAAGCACCCACCTAGTGCTGCTGCCTGCCCACTGGAAAGAATCTGGTACAAATGCCTGAGGTTGGCGAGTCTCCTTCACACTCCCAAGTCTCCTTCCAGCAACCRACGGTCAGCCAAAAGCCATGGCCATAGCCCACCCTGATGTAGCCTTGGGACAGTAGCTGTGCCCCCACCTCCAGGCTCCCCGCGAGGGGGCGTGAGGCGGGGGAGAGGAGCCCCGTCCCTCTCCACAGATGAGTGTGTGATGGGACATGTGGTATTTCCAGCTGGCCTGTGGTTTGTTGACAGCACGACGTGGTAGAAACGGATTACCAGGTCAGCCTGTAACTACTCGGGTGGTACATTTTAATTGTCCCAAGGACGTGGCAACTGCTGCGAGGTAGGGAAGGCCTGGCAGCAGTTGGGAAGGTGCGTCTGGCCGGCGGCAAGTTTGAAGGAAGGCTGATAAGTGACCTGAGCCTGTTGGGCCCCTGGTGCATTCCAAGTCCACCTGCTGATTCCCCGGGAATTTTGGTATGCACCAAGCCACAGTATTTCTCCAGGCGGGGACAGAGAGGACCTGTCCTGGCCAGCTGCAGGCCGCTGTCTTTGAAGGTCTTGTTGCAGAGGGGGTGGTGGAAACAGAAAGACAGCTGCCACGGAAAGACCCACCCTGGAAACCTTAGCAGGGCTCCTGCAGGGACAAGTGAGTGGRTGACACGCCTGCAGAAGCACAGGGCCCAGGGGAACCGCCCCTCACTTTCTAGTGACATCTTTCCAATAGAAAATCAGCAGTAAGTTCTTTGTAAAAAGAGTAAGTATCCTTTTCCCTGGGAAAAGTCAGTCTGTGAGACTGAGTTGCTTTTGTGATCCAGTTTGAATTCTGTTATTTCGTTTTTGGGGAGGCAGGTGGTACTGGGGATTGAACTTAGGGATACTCAACCACTGAGCCACACCCCCAGCCCAATTTTGTATTTTATGTAGAGACAGGGTCTCACAAGTGGCTTAGGGCCTCGCTTTTTCTGAGACTGGCTTTGAACTCACTATCCTCCTGCCTCAGCCTCCTGAGCTACTAAGATTATTCTGTTATTTCTAAGGCACAATTTCTCTCCATTTTTTAGCCTTTATGAGTCAGATTGTGTCCTGCCATTGAAGTCATTTTAGATTAGTGACGGACACTGTTTCTATTTATTTATTTATTTTGTGTTAGTGGGGGTGCGGGGGCTGAAAGTTGGGGCCTTGAGCATGCTAGGCAAGCACTCTACCACGGAGCCACCTCCCCAGCCCCTTTTAGTGTCTCAAGAGAAGGTCTGGAAGTCTGTCCAGGGAAGGGGTGTGCTGTCCACTGTGGCTCCTGGTGCCGTTGTGGCTTCCCACGTGGACCTCAGTGCCGTCCCCAACTACACGAGGTAAGGAGCCTCTGCACAGGCATCCTGGCTCCTGGAGGAGGACGGCCAGCTGTCTCTTACCTTCTACGTGCCCACCCAGAAAGCGAAGGCCTCGCCCAGAGATCCCGTCCACCAGGGCTGTGCGTGGCAGTTGGGAACCGGGGTTCCTTCCAGTGAGGGGCTCATGACACTGGCTCTCACGTAGTCCCCTAGTGTGGCTCGTCTCTGCTGCAGGCTAGGAATCGAACTCYGCACCGCGTGGCCCCAGAGGCCTACTGTGCTCCACGTAAACAGCCGTTTCTTCTGTCTACCATGTTAAGGGAATTGGGTGAGTCTAGAAAACTCCGCGAGCAGAGTCGATGGCTGAAGTACTGTAAGTACTTGGCTCTGTAAGTACTTGGCTGCCACCTTGACCGACTCACAGCGGACCCTGAGCAGAGGGTGCGTGGGTGAGCCCCCTTCCCTGGGCTCCTGGGTAACCGCGATGGTGTAAGGAGTCCTACGGTGTGGAGGTGACCTGGCCTGCGGGGAAGGCTCTGGGGGTGAGGACAAAGCTACTTCCTGACTGGGACCCCCTGTGCCCTTCACTACCACAGGCCTCAGAACTATGGGGGCATGCTCAGTGCCCCCCACCCAAGTCCTGAGGCAGCTGGCCTGGGCGGTAAGGGGTGCAGGCACGTAGGGACCACTGTACAGTTCTCCCTGAGGCACGCGCCCCCCGCCCACCTGCCAGGAGCCTCCCCAAGTTCGGATCGGTTCTTCGTTCTCTGTAAGCCTGTGAGAGTTTCACAGACACTTTGCTCTATCATAAGGTTGGGCAATTCTGTGATGTTTTTATTCAGGAAAACTAGACCAGAGGTTAACATTCTGTCAGTAGTTCGGCTGCCAAAATCTGAGCAAGAAATAGGGTTTGGTGGTCTCACTTTCAATGAATTCTTCACTGTTTTCCTTTTCAAACATGGAGAACTTTAACATTGTGTTTATTGAGAGCATCGGGGACAGGGCCCTTTCCCACTGATGGCAAAGTGGGACAGCCCTTTGGGGAGCAGCGTCCGTGGCCTCACCACAAAACCCTGAGGGGAAGAGTGATGTCCCCACACAGTTTCTGCTTGTGCCCTTTGTTTGCCCATCTTGAAGACCACCGAGAACACCGGCTTGAATGCCAGGCAGATCCTTGACTTTGAGTTGGATCAGAGGTGGTGGGGGTTATTGAGTACAGTAAAGCAAATGTGGATCATTCAGATCCAGTGATGGTGGGCCAGAGAAGGGGGGCTCAGATGATCCCGGGGAGGGCAGTGATGGGGACCGAGGCTGGTCCCGAGAGACCCTGAGTGGGAGAAGAGAGCAACGAGGGACTAGGGCATGGGGCCTGCCATGTGTGCAGATGACAGAAGTCCCACCAAGCATGTGAGGTCCAGCCTTGGCTTGTCCTGGGTGGCCCAGCTGGCTTCAGTGGGACCCATGGGCAGAAGCTTCATGGAGATGGATTCGCTTTCCATAATAAAAGAAAACTCAGAGCCCAGCTGTGCTGAGACCCCGGCCMTGCAGCGGACACAGCACTGTCTGCTCACCCTGCAGGAACGGGTGACACAGGGTGCTTGTGCCGTGGTTCTGGGCCCTGGCTGGCACTGGGCTGAAGTGTGGGTGCTGGGGAAGGCCCTTGGGTGTGGGGATTTTCCAGGTCTTTAGGGGCTTGTTGTCACCAGACACTGCACTTCCTGGGCGTCTTCTTATCCAGGGTCCGGGGTGAGCCTGTCATTGCTGAGATGAAGCCACGGTCTCTGCAGTCGCCTTCCGTGGCCCCAGATCTCGTGGTTCTGTTAGTTTGGTAACATTCATGCAAGTTTGCATCAAGTGCTAATTTCCCTGTTTCCCCAGTGAAAAGGCTGAAGTAGCGAGAGGTTAAGTGGCTTTCTTGTCCAGGGTCAGGTTGCTGGTAGGTGACAGAACTGTCTCTTGATTCTCTGCCTCAAACTCTTTCTGCCAGGCAAAAAGCAAGTCTTTGAGGTGTGTGGAGCGGCTTTTGAATCTAGGAGTGGAGCAGACTGAATAGTTTCCTTGATATTTCTCCGATTCCATGTAAAGACACTGGCTTTTATATGGATCCTAACATCTAGAAGTTGTATAGCAGAAAAATCTTTCTTTTTAAATGCAGGGCCCATCTGATTTACCCAATCTTACAGACAAGAGGGTTATGCAGAAATCCTGTTCCCCCACGCTTGGGGTCACCCGGTGCCTTGTGCTAAAGGTCTCAGAAGGGAATTTATTTCATCCTTCTCATCTCGTTCCTTTGGTCGTCCGTTCTGGTCTTTGCTGAACCATTCAGTGGTTGATCCCAGATGGATAGTGAAAGATCATCCTGGTCAGGGTTAGCCACAAGCAGGCTCCCTGCATGGTCGGAAGTAAATTCCTCACCGCAGCTGAATTCCTCAACAGTCGAGGGGGGCCCCAGATATTGACAAATCGCATCAACT